GTTTTAAGATACAGCTCCAGTCGTGTGCTCGGTCAAGAACACAGGCTGCAGAAAAATTACAAAAATTAAGCAAGCGCTTCTTGAGCCAAGGAGCATGTCAACTCGCTGGCGCTTCACTAAGCAGCTGATACTCATATTTCAATTCAGGTTTTAGTAGCAATCGAGAAGTCATTTTGACGAATATGCAGATTACGTATTATATTACGTACTATGTCCCACTAAAGCAATATTAGTATATTCTTTAGGTTGAAATATGAACTTAGTTAACTAACTATTAGATGAACTGCTGAATAAAAGTATATTTGACAGGCAGAGAGATACTACTTAAACTTAGCCAAATGGTTCTAGCCGGTAGAATGGAGACGAGTGCGGACAAACTGAAAATAGTCTTCATTGGAGATTCACGCAGAACCTCTCTGCATTGAACTTGACTTCGAATCCTGAACGGATAAAATGAGTATTTTTTGTGGCTGGTCAACCTGAGCAATGTAGACGTATATTGCTGCTGGCTTCGACAGTGGTTATAATATAAATATTGGAGGCGCGATAGATCCTAATGTCGTGACAGCGTCTATAACTTTGCGAGACGCGTCCCCCACCTTTTGAAAGCAGATAATTTCCCTCGTTAATCATATGCAGCGAGCAGGTTTTCTGAATCAAATAATTGCGAAATTAGCCCAACTCCTTCAATGTGGTCTTTTTCGGCGAAAAGCCGCCAAGATGAATAGCCAACGCACCGGCCGGCGTTAGTGCCTAAATTAACTTGAAGCTAATCGAGCACAACCAAACTCAAGGAAAGCAGCTATCGAACCTTCCCATTCACATGACTGCAACATTGGTGTTCTCTCCAGTGAAACACTTCGTCTGTCGACCTCAGTCCACTGTTCTACATCCTTATAAGGAAACCACTTATCAGTTACGAAGCAGTCGTCACTTTGAATGGGATTAGAGACAGACCAGAAATCAAAACGTTTTTCCGCGATTCCTCCTCATCCAAAAAATTGAAAGCACGCGACCGTGTGTTGTGGAGTAAACGGGCTTTCAAACACGTGATGGAAAGAAACAATCTACTGAGGCTTCACCACTCTAATGAACACTCAGGCAAACTTAAGAAATTTTCGGACCTTCGTCAAATTACATTGCTCGCCCCCGCGCCGACAGCACGTGTCCGCGAGAGCCATCAGAGACGCGACGGGGCGCGGAGCGACCTGGACAGACTGGTTCCCGGTTTTCCCGCTTGGCGGCGTCCGTTTTGCTGGAGTCGCGAATACAGGGGTCGTACATATGATTACATGAATAAATAAACACAGTTAACACACGGTCATAAGGCCATAATATAAACACGCTACAGGTGAGCGCACCTACTGTGACAGATAATTAAAAAGCTAGAACCAAAAATGTATGCTCTGTGAGACGTTTTCTCAAGTTTTTGTTGCCGATATTCTATTTGACCACACTGACTGTTTATGTACATGCATTAGTTGACACAATGACGTTTCTCCCGTGTTCATAAATGATTAACATAATTATGGAGAAACCAAATACCAGAGAGGAGTCTGTAATTAGAAGAGATAGGGCAATAAAGGCGATATATGAAAGATACATGCGCATTAATGGCGCAAATTAACTCTAATTCAAAGCAGTCCCTGTTGCTTAGAAAATCTAAGAAAGAAATTTCAGGAAGAACTAGTGGTCGAGTTAAACGTGACAGAGGTAACATTGAGAAATCTATAAATCGATGACACGGTAGCCCTGTCGCTGAGGCAGCCTTGGAAGCAACATCAAAGTTATAAAAGCTACACACGTACACACAAGCCAGCCCACGTGCCCCAATATACAGTATAGACCACTTACAACGTAACCGCTTATAGTGCAGGACCGGGTATAACGCGGTTTTTTTAAACCACCGGTTCACCTCCCATAGAACTCCATGTAATTACATACCGCTTAAAATGCAGGCGCGCGAAGGGAAATACCGGTTATGGTGCGGTTTTTGGCAGAGCCCGCCGACCGCGCCGACGACCGGAGCAGCGAGCTCGCTTCCCTGTGCGACACTAGATAACGGCGCTGACGGCGCGAGCCGCACGCTGCACTAGCGGGGCAAGGATGTTGCTCGAAAAAGCGGGCAGAAGCGAAGAGAGGCTTCAGCGACGGAGGGACGCACGCACGAGTCGTTCACGTGCGTGCGTCCCTCCGCTGCGTTGGAAACAAAGAAACAAACAACCGCAATGACAGACCAATCGCAGGTCGAGGAGAAGTGTTCGCGCGCGTTGCATGCTCTCTCCTTCCCCCCCCAACCTCTCTTACAACGCTTCTCCTCCTCCTCCTTCTCTCCGGTCGCGGGCCGGCTGCTTCTCTCCGTAAACATGGCGTCGGTTGTGATCGTCGTCGTAGACGGCGTGCATCTCATCGTTCTGCGTAAAAGCGCTATCATTGACTGTGAATTTTCGTTGTGTGTCGCTGTGATAACCCAGCACGTAGTACTAGAAGGGAAGATCCACCTACTCGTGCGGCGATGTCGTGGCGGCGCTCTGAAGACGGCAGAAACGCCCGTGTCGTCGTGTTTGTTTACTTCGACTACAGTGGTGATTTCTAAGCATTTCTGTCCTCGAACATCGCCCGGATTTCTTATTTGGCGCATTTCATGCGTGTGCTCAAGTTCAAGGTATTACTGGCGCGTACGTATGAAGGATGCGAATTTTCACGCGTTTTCATCTCCGGAGAAAAGTGATTAGGGTTAGCAATCCTGAACGCTCGCAACGTCCGTCCGCAACTCGCGACGCCATTAAAGGCTGCGCCAGGCAAAAGCCGCTCATTTCTTTCAAAATGTGTGACACACTTGAGAGAGAAGTGTACTAGACTGGTGAAATAAAGACTTTCCTCAAACTAAGCTTTATTTTTCATCTAACATAAAAATAAATTCTTTTACAAAGGTAAGTTGTTTCATGGCATGTATTTTGGCCTGAAAAATTGATGTTTTGGTTATAGCGCGGTACCGCTTATAGTGCGGATTTTCGCGACTCCCGAGACATACGTTATATGCGGTCTACACTGTATATGTAGATAAAAAAAAGGAAGGTTGGTCAGCAGTACCACAGATTTTCACTAATCACAATATGAACTCCAGACATACAATAGGATATTATGAAACGTAAAAGAGATTCCGCGTGAGATACCGTCAGCTGGGAGGAACGAACAAGCAAATGTTGTAAACGTGCTCCAGGAAAAATTACAACATGCGCATAGTTGTATCGTAGACCTAAAGTAACATTGCAAAAGTAATGTGCCTTTACATTATCAGCGAGAAAATGATGTCAATGCAATTATAAACATAATTTACATATCTTGTGCATACTTTATAAACAAAGAAAAATAAATGAACAATATTGGCCGTAAAAACGAACAGAAGCGTCGCTACAGTTTCCACCGTGATGTCATGGGGAGAACAGAGATTTTTCTCGTGAGATTATGATCGCACAAATCAAAATACAATCACGCTATCGAAAAATAAAGCAAAAAAGATCTTCCCAGTTATCAGCAGTCGATATCCAACTGTTCGCAAGTTGACTCGGCTGAAATATTGTCTCCTTGACTCACTCTGGCAGGCCGCCAAAAGGAGCCACTCAAACTTCTTGGTGCTAATAACAATTACTTGTAATAAATGTAGAGTTTAAATATACCCTCCTGAGTGATGTTAGAACTGGTTAAAACTCGCACAAACACACTTAGGCATTTTACATTTCACAGTCATGCTGTTCCAAACGTGGACTTCCTTTCCGCGGTTCGTGAGACAAAGGTTTGAATTACAGAATCTAAGCTCAAAGTGGCCGTCAGCGCGCCGTGCACGTGCAATAAGAGTAGATGAGTCAACCTTTCCTGTGACATTGTGCTTCGAAAGCAAGTCTTCATACGTCGCAGGGCGTTGAAGGATCGTTCGGATGATGCCGACGACGCGGGGACCGTGACAACGAGAAGCACAAGTTTGAAAACTTCCTTAAAAATTAGTTTCACGTTTGGAGCTTGATCCTTCAGGAATGCATGAACATCTTGGATGGTGTCGCACTTGCTGCTTCCAAGTGACGGCAGCATTATCAATTGTGCAGCAAGCCGGGAGACGTCGAAATCAGAAGTGTGGAGCCCCAGTTCCTCTTCCAAGACTGCGGCAGAGGGAGGCTTCCCCCTGGCGGCATCAGTCACAATTCCTTCTAGACGAACAAGCTCGTTGAGTCCAGGCTGCGTGAATCTCCTCTGAATTTCCGCCGTCAGAGTATCGACCAGCTCAAAAAAATCCTTTCTCAAGGCATCTTTCAAGTCTAATGACGCTGGTGAACCTGGACGGCTTGTAGATTCCAGTCTCTTTGGTGGCCTTTTTTTCCTTGTCTCGGAAGGAAATTTGAGATTAAGTATATCTGATTTGGCCGATGCAAGAAGAAAAATCTCATCGAAAGCATCATCACTCCGCAGATTTCTCAGGGTCAACTCGAGCACATCGGCCGACTTCCTTGCTGCGGTGGCAGAGCAACTGGAGCTCTGAAGTGCACGGGCGAGTTCCTCGCAAGGACCAAAGACCTTGATCGATGCAATTAAATAAAACATCGTCTCGAACCGCTGCAGACGTTTTAAATAGCCCTGGAATGCAGCACGGCGGTCGTCTCGAATAGAAGTTTTCTCTTTAAGGATCTCCACAAGAGTGATTTGCACCCAACCATAATTATCCAAGAACCTCGACATGCAGTTCACGCGAACGGACCAGCGGGTTGGGCACAGAGGTAACAGCTGCTTCACCGGAGTGTCCATCTCGCATTCTGATGGGCACGGAGCTGACACGATACCAGTGTAGATTGACTTTCTTTTTGCCGAATTCAGGATCGCGTTGGACACGTCCTTCACAATCGTTAATGTGGTACAAATGACTTCAGAACTGCGACCCGCCTCCTGAAGTGCAAGGTCGAGGGAGTGATTACAGCAGTGAACATATGTCGATTTTGGCTGCTCATCCTTGATTAGCTTTTGTACCCCGCTAATCTTTCCAGACATGCTGGCAGCACCATCAAAACAATGTCCCCGGAGGTTGTGGAAGCTAAGAGACAGCCTGATCAGTACGTCTTTGATCGTGGAGAATAATGTTGCTGCTTTGGTGTCAGGTGGGTTGTACATGCCCAAAAACGCTTCATGCACATCAAGTGTGTCTGGGGAAACGTACCTTACGCACACGGAAAACTGCTCTTGACCCGACGTGTCGGTCGTGGAGTCTGCCATGATGGCGTAGAAAGGTGATTGGGTGATTTTGTCGACAAGCATTCGCTGGACACTGTGCGCCATTATTTTGAGTATTTCGTTTTGCACGTCGCCACTAAGCCACCTGTCCCGCTTGTTAAGCCAGGTTCTTAGCGCAAGGACGTCTTCTTTTCTCTCTTCCAAAAGCTGCACCAGGTCTCCGTTGCTTGAAAGGTGGCCGCAAATGGACAAACCACTTCGAGCAAGGAAGCGCAACGAGCTTACAATAACCCGTAAAGCCGCACGATTCTCTTGTTGCTGCTGAAGACTCTGCTTCGAGATGAGTGCTGCAATGGATGCCCCTTTCTCTCTCTGGATAATATGGTGAATCGAGTCTCTGTGATGCTCGCTCCTCTCATGCATTTTGAATTTGTGAGGTCCCTTCCGCCAGTTTCGAAAGCCTGTCTTTAGAAAAGCCGGCTTGACACCATTGAGAGACTTCAAGCCCTTCATTTCAAACGCCCTAGCACAGTCAAAACAGAAAACACAGTCCTGCTTTTCGGTCGCGCACCAGTCACCTAGCTGTTTTTGGAGTTTTCTGTTTGTCCTTTGTCCCTCTTGTTCCCCTTCTCCAGGGATTACTTTCGTCATTCTTGTCCAGCTCGCTTGCACCTTTGCATTTAATTGCATTATAAACAGTCCTGCTTCCCATCATAATGAAGCCATTGATACGTTATAAACCAAGATGACTGGCAGCTCCTGTTGTCATTTTTGGGAAACCTGAATGAGGTTCCGGGATGAAACTTAGTTTCAATCCTACAAACAGCGTCAGGAGAACTGAATCTTTCCTTTGCAGGGCCTGAACTGGTTGATGCTGATGGGCATTGTCCGGGCATACTCTTACTCGCTTCCAAGTGCATGTTGTGCTCCTCTGGTAGTGGCTTGGTCCTTTTTGCGGTTGGTGACCAGAGGTCCAGCAAGGTCTGCTTTCGTGCCATCTGCGCAATACATTTATACGGTGTAATCAGACGGGGTTGAATCCGACACCATCAAAGCATCAAAAGGAAATTGAATATTCTCTACACTCTGCCATTACGCTGCGCCGTGTCTACAGTAAAGTGAAACATATAAGCAGTAATTTATTAGCGAGCGAAGGAGAGAGAAAGAGAGAGACACCGAGACTCGGAGTCCGCAACAACGTCAAAGCGTCAAGTTACGTCTCTGTGATAATCTATTTACGTAATCCGCCATTTCACGAATTTTTGGTCTTTCAGTCAGTGAGCTCTTGCTCGACGGGGGCATTCACTCAAGTCATCTTCTCGTTGCTGTTGATTATGTTGCAATAACAAATCATGAAAATGGAAAAAGCCCGTGCGTCAATGTTATGCACCCATAATGCGCTTGCTATAGGGCCTCGCAATGCCTTCGTTGCAGCTGAGACTGCAACAAGGCTAGACAAGAAAAATTCCTCGTGTACAGCTCGTTCGTTAGTTAGGTATTGGGCATGAGCATGTCGTGATAACAAATTGCATTCCATGTACCGGCTAAACGCCACTTTCTGAATTGCTGGTTTTGAAAAACTTTTAATAACCTTGTGGCGTATACTCCAACAAGCGGCTGCGGTAGCTTTCTGGTCTAAAAACAAGTAACTTTAATATGATTGCTAACGGTTTGCGAATAGTGCTTCGAATCAAATAGAGAGTCATTCATAGCCTTCACAGTCCAAGGCGTGCCGGCTTTCTCTGCAGTATTAATGCTAACGATGGCTATGCACTATTCGATTCAATGCAGCACTCACACAACCCTAATTGGTTGCCTTGACATGCATGCGTTCGTATAGCGCGTCGAACTAAGAGCGGACAAATCACCCGCACTAATTCCCCTCTCTCAATTTTTTACCGATCATGCTTGTCCAATCTGAATTCGATGCGCGCGTAAGAAAGCTACGAGAGCCAACTCCGCTCTCCGAGCGTATGTCGTGTAGCCTGTGCTTGTGCAATGCATTCGACAGGCAACGTGCTCGCGTCGCTTTTCAGTAACCGCCTTGACACGGTCAGTTCCTTGAAGCTGTGCTGACAGCGAGCTCAGAGTCCACACGGGCTTGATGACGGTTCAGCGAGCACGCGCTCACAACTGCCTCGAGCCAGAGAGTGCTCCTGCGAAACGCACAGAGCAGTGAACGCACCTTGAGGTCATTTTATACACCTTTCCAAAAACGCATCTCAGGGCGCTTTCATTGCTGTGTTTATGCTTTTTTGCACGAGCATTTTCTGACTCGCCGCAGTTGGCTGGCACGCGCTGGCTGGACTGTGATCAAGCACGTGTGGACCGTTATTTTACATCGATAGCTAGCTTTTATGCAAAAAGGTGAGCTGGCGGGCTAGTTGGTCGTTCATCGTTAGTAAAATAGCGCAAAACAACAAGGAAGGAAGGACGAGGTAGACAGGAAGGGCGCTAAACTGACAACTGACATTTAATATTTAATGGAGGAGAAGAAAGAAGCAAGATGTTACTGATGTTTTTGCTTAAAAGAAAGAAACGTACACCCTCAAAGTTGTTATACGTAAAAATTTAAAATAAAATGTATGAAAAAGGTGAGTTGCTGATGAGGTATGTGAGTGAAAAAAAACAAAAAACGTAAGAAATAAGAAAGAAAGAAAGAAGGAAGCAATAATTTTGAAACAAAATTAGAAAATTGCCGAGGTACACGATCGGAAATCGTAGATGATAAAAAAGATGAAGTTTGAGACTTAAAAGGAACCTGAGGTTGCAGGCTGAATGCTTGTCGTCAAGTCATATGATTAAGGTAGTAAAGTTCCTTTGGAGATAAGGCGATCGATGGGGCGCTGATGCACACCGCTCCACGGGACAAAATTGTTTGAGCTTCATACAACTCGCGTGTTCTTTTGGACCTAAAACGTCTTAGGATTTTGGTTTGGCTAAACACTGCTGAGCACATGCAGTCCCTTGCATGTATTGCAAGATGGCCGGCTGGTGATGATCTCAAGGCTAAGGCATGTTCTCGTAAGCGTTCATTGATGCATCGGCCTGCTTGTCCCACATATATTTTGCCGCAGGTGAAAGGTATTTCGTACACCACTCCTCGTTGGCAGTCGAACGTATTGTTGCTGGTGTCTTACTTTGCACTTAGCTTGCTGTGGTTGGAGATGGTTAATTCTCGGACACAACCGCCTAAGTTTATCTGGTGCAGAGAGTGCCACTTGGACTTGATATTTAGAAGCAATCTTTTTTAAGTTGTGTGTAATCTGAAGAATGTATGGCAGCACTGCTGGTCGTTGGTTCTTCTCTCGTGTGCGCACTCGTTGTCCACTGTTGGTGAGTAATGATTCGGCGACTTCAAGCAAAATCGAACTCGGGAACCCAGATGTCTTGAGGCGCTGCTCTTGAGCTTGAAAACTCTCAGCCGCGGTCTTAAGGCGAGACGCGGGTCTTAAAATGGTAAAAAATCGCGAAATTTGGGGTTTTTCAAAAATCACATGTTTGGATAGAATATAGTCTGAAGTACCTGCCTGCCAAGTTTCAATGTCCTATTTGACGTCTAAGTATAAAAAAAACGATAAATACGATGCCTCCGCGACGCTCAAATCGCGAATCAAACGCAAAAAATAGTCAAACTGCGCGCCCGCGTCGCTTCACGACCGATCGTCGGATCGCGGCCATCTTGGTCTTGTTGGAGAGCTGGTTCTCTTCCCTACGTCCTCATCCCACTCACTATCGCGACAACCTTGGAGAGCGTCCGCATTCCGCGTGTTTTCACGACCGGAATAACGATTGCTCATTGGCCCGCGCGCGTACGTCACGGGTACGTCGTGCCGCGCGCGCCTGTCATAGGCCAAGACGCGCCCCTTTCCACTTTTGCTCCTTTCCTCCTCTTGGCGCGCGCGCCTCCAGCAGCGCAAGGGGATCGTGGAGAAGCGTCGTCTGCTTCGTTTTGGCCCGTCGCTTTGTTCGTTCCGCGGCTGAGTGCACGTTGTTTCGAAATCGTTTACGTTCGCGCGTTCGCGTCGGACATCGTTGGTTTCTCGCTACGAAGTTGCGGGAGTTTTATTTCGAGCGATCGAGATGCCGGGGGACTCTCGATTGAAAGAGAGTACGCGGCGGACGTTCGGGAGGAAGACGCGACGTGCGTGGAACAAGCGGAAGACAACACCTGCAAGTGCGCCGCTACGATCTGCGCCACTGCCGAACGCATTGGATCTGCCGGGACCATCGGCTAGCCTTCCCGTTGACGATGCTGCGGCCTCAAGCTCTGGTCCGGATGGCTCAAGTTTTGCCGGCACCACTCGCGTCGACTCTACCTACTACTCCACGGCCGAGCAAGCGCAGCGCGCCGAGCGATCGGAGCAAAGCAAGCGCGTTTTATCGGAGAAGTCGGCGACCCAGCGGAAGTTCGATCTGCTTGAAGTCAACGGATCATGCCAAACAAGCGATGCCGGGACCCAGTTTGTCATCGTCGACATGAAAGTCCTCAACGACCTCTTCGCGCACGCGAGGTGTGGAAGCTGCGGTGTGGGATCTCTCACGCTCAGCAAGGCCGCGGACAAGGAGTACGGCTTGGCCGTCAAGCTTGTGCTCGTCTGCAGCACTTGCGACTTCCAGAAGAAGCAGTTCTCCTCTCCCAGGGTTGCTGGAACAGCAAAGATCACTCCCTTTGAAGTGAACATGAGGGCCATGAAGGGGATCCAATCCATTGGCAAAGGAGTGACAGCCTTGGCAGACTTCTGTGCCTCCATGAACATTTCTCATCGGGGCCTGCACCACAAGACGTACCAGGGACACCTGAAAACGCTTGTGCGGGCATGTGAGAATGCAGCAACCGACAGTGAAGCCGCCAGTGTTGCTGTCGTCAAGGGGCTTTACA